TGCCCTAGAAAGCTACTACGGGGAAGCTGATGCATATAAGTTGGCTGGCTGTTTGTTTTCTACGGTTTGAAAACAATTTTTTTGTCCAAATGATTATTTTGCCATTGATTAGTAATGTTGTTTGTAACAGAACAGTTCTAGTCATATATTTGATACTTCAAAAGCAAAAAATCACTTCATAACAGTACAAAAATTCATATAAAAACCTCACGTAATTGTGAGTTTCAAGTATGCTAAAGAAAACTATTATAATTACAATTAGTAATATGATAATATTGATTTCATAATGCCCCAACCCACAACATGACAACCAACAAGTGTCCACCCTAGTAAGTCACCAACTTTGTCAATGAACCCTCCATGATTTGCATAAAATAGAAAATTTTCTAAATTTCCTAAAGCAAACCAAGAAAATCCTCAACTTTCACTCTCTGTATTTTCTAAGTTTCCACAACACCACAACCACAACCAACACAAGAACCACCCACACCACAGTCACAACCAACACAACATCCAGGACCACAAAAACCACCAACACCTAGGCTACAACCAACTTAAGAACCACACATCACACACCACACACCACACACCACACACCACACACCACAACCACAAGCAATAAAACAACCAACACCAAAAAGAACACCAACACACCATAACAGCCACAACCAACACAAGAACCACTCACACCACAGTCACAGCCAGCACAACATCCATAAAAACAAAAACCACCAACACCTAGGCTACAACCAAATTAAGAACCACCTACCACACACCATAACACAGGAACAACCAACACCACAAAAACCACCAACACACGAAAACAATCACAACCAAAATAAGAACCACTCACACCATAGTCACAGCCATCACAACAGCCAGCACCACAAAAGTCAACAACACCACGACTACATCCAACACCACAAAAGTCACCAACACCACGACTACAACTAACATAAGAACCACACACCACAGCCACAGGCAGGACAACAACCAACATCACAAAAACCACCAATACACCACAACAGCTACAGCCAACACAAGAACCACCCACACTACTGTCACAGCTTGCTCAACAGTCAAAAACACAAAAATCACAAACACCACGGCTACGACCAACATAAGAACCACCCACCATTCACAACATACACAAGCTGCACAACAATCACCCACACCATAAGAACCACCAACACCACAACTACAACCAACACAAGAACCACATACAACACACCAACACCACGGCCAACAAAAGAACCACCCACACCACAATAACCAATCGAGAGACAACAAAAAAAAACTAGCAGAGAGAATTGTACGTGAGATAGGGGATAGGGGAGATGATACTAGAGACAAAAAAAATCAGTAGAGACTAAAATACGCGTGATTGGGGATAAGGGAAGATGATACTGGGGCAATTCGGGATGGCGTTGAACATAAGAGCAACGAGGGCCGAAGGAACGGGTAAAAAAGTGAGGGGTAATGCGTAAAAACGCACTCCTCGAACACGGGTTGTGGGTCGAATCTACATCCCACAATCAAAATAAGGAATATTGCGGCCCAGGCGGCATCCCAAATGGTCGTATATAGCGGCCAGCCACTACGTCGCAGCCCGAACGCTGCCCCAAATGCACCCTGATTAAGCCTACTGGTTGGCTTTATTTATCATGTAGTTCACCTAAGACTTACTTGTAGTTAGCCCCGTTGTAACTCATCTATTCAAAAAAAGTTATAGGTGCTATATATAGACCTCCACTTTATGATATATTGGCATACAATAAGTCATCATTTAGACTTGCTGGTGAATAGTCATTTTAAATTTTGTTGTAAAAAGGGAAGTCAAACTCTTTGTTGGGACATATCCATGTAGAGCAAATGGAGTTAGTAACTTTGAAGCCATTTGAGTTTGATGTTGGTCATTTGAACAAAATTGTATAATTCATCTGCAAGTTTTTATAAAAATGTTGGTTCGCTTTCAACGAATTTGTCGAGAACAGTGGGTCCATCAAGGTGTAAATGAGATGAGTTCCTTAAATGTCATAAGTGAACTTATTCCATATAGCAAGTAGTTCCATTGTTAATTTTAACAAAAAAAAAATCATAAAAGAGTCTCTATTTTCATACTATTAGGCATTTTCCTCTGTCATTTTCAGGGTAACTAAGCAAACAAATTGGTAGTCCAAATAAATTTCTTCTAATTAAAGCTTTTCTATTGGGATTTTTTCTGATTTGATCTTTGGTGTTCTTTTATATGTCTCTATGCATATCATCGCACATTTGAAAGATTTTGGATTCCAATTTGTCATTAATTATGCCCCGAATCTTATTATCGTTGATTAAAAAAGAGGGACTTGGTAAGAAATTGAATTCTTATTAAGAAGATGATATTTGCTCTCTATCCTTTCTCTCAACTTTTTTATCCATATTTATCGATATTAAGTGTTCTTGAGTGTTGAATTAGACTAAAAAGAACTTAATAAAAAAAAGTACATCAAAAAATACATATATATATATATATATATATATATATATACACACATTGTGTTATTTCTTTGCCTATTGTTGGGTCATGTTGCCTCATGTATCTATAAGAGATGTCAAGCTAAGTACCAATTGTGAGTTGGTATGCTATTGACTTAGTTTTTATTTATGCACCACATGAAACTTGGCACTTGGTACTCGGTACCTACGACTTGTCAACTTGTCAACTTGGTATTTTGTCGACTCGGTTGTTGGTTAGGTTGGTGATTTACCTTTGGGGCGTGTATATAGATCTTAAGAGCTTTAAATCATTTTTAAAATGAATACCATTATTAATTAATTAAATATATTATAATAATTGGGCTATTTACATACATAGTTATTTACAACTCAAGCTCCCATCAATTTTTCAAATTCTAACTCAAATATAAAAATTCATCATAAAACCCTAACCCATATTTTTTTTACCATGGCATGCAAAAATGCATCCATTCGGTAATTCAAAAATATCACATGCGCGGATGTTAGATTTTATAAATATTAATCTTTCTGGTGCTATATATATATATATATCCCTATATTATATTTTAAATAAATTTGAAAAATTTTAATTTCATTAAAAGTTTTAGTCAATATTAATAAAATAGTGAAAACCGAAAAAAACTAATTAATGGAGTTAACATCTATTTTAAGTCATGCGTGTTTGTTTATAATTTGTAAGTTTGGGCTCATATTTATGTTAAATTAAGCACCACTAATTCTCCTAAACAATTCCATTTATATATTTGTCCATTAGTTAATCGGTTGACATATAATACTCAATCGAGCAACAATTTGAGAAAAGTTATATCAATGGACCCATCAACCACCTTGACCCCTCCCTCACACCACCAATGAGATGCGGGGCCCGTTTGAGGCAACTTATTTGGTGGGATGTATTTTGAAAACACATAGAGGATTGTTCGGGTAAATTGCATTTTGACAGCTTATTCAAAAAGCTGATTTTTCAAACCGTTGAAATCAACGTTTTCGCACCGATCCAAGCTAGGTGCGGTGACAACTTTCTAGCTGTGGCTTTTCAAAAAAAAAAAAATTTGTAATAGTCACTGCAATTGTTTGAACTACAAATTATTTTTAGCAACTTATCAACAGCTACGCGAAAGAGACCCGTACTCAAATTAACTTGGAACTCTTTAGATGAGTGACGTGATAAGTGTGTATTATTTTATAAAATTACAAAATAAAATTCGCTATTAAAATATTATTCAATTATCCATAATTATATAGTTTTGTTTTAATTTTCTTAATAAAATCATATTAGCTAGGAAGATTTACGTCCATATCACTCAATTCGCATATATTTAATATTTAACTTAAAATAGTGATATCCAAATTTTACTTTTTACATATATATATATATATATATGCATATCACTTACTTACACATGAAAATATTTGAAACTTAAAATAGTGATATCCTTAATGTGACACTAAAATTTTGGGTGGTATACATTTAAAAGCAAATTTTTAAGTATTAGAGATGTAAATAAGTAGTAATTTTATGTTATAAATGTAAATTGCCAAAAATATGTTCTACTTTTTTCAAATATCAAACCTTTAAAACACACATATATATGAATAAGAAAAAAAAAACCAATATAAATTTTAATAAGGAAGATTTATATGTCTCAATTAAAGATTATGCTAAAATTATAATCTTGTAAACAAGTAATTTTATTCGTTTTTTTTTTTTTGTGAATATATATTATAAAAAGTAATTGAAAATGTATTTTAATTTATTTATAATTAAAATTATAACTCAATTCAAACACTATAATTCCCTTGATCACATCCGTCCAACAATCAATCAAAGCTGCACCAATCATGGGCAAAAGAGCGAAAGCCACACGCAACAAATTATCAAACACATTTACGTGTACGAATTTTCTCGCTCTCCTATTTTCCATGCAACGTCGCTGTTTTTGCCTTTTGCTCTACAGCGACTTGCACGTTGTGGTCCATGTGATTAATGATCGTTAAGCAAATATGAGCCCTCGCGTCAAGAACCGATCGGCAGAGTACACTATCTTGATTTTTAAATGTAAATATATAAAACTTACATGTTTTCCATTATTTTTTACCTATAAAAATTTGATACAAAATTAATTTTTTTTATTAATTTCGGGAAGATTTTAATCAAGTTATGGAACATAATATATATATATATATATATAGAAATTCTTTTTTCTAATATCAATTATTTAAATGAACCTTTGTATAATTTTAAAATTTTAGGGAGTGCCCTCTCTGTGATGAGAAATTATTTTGTGTAGGGTCCAGAAGTAGTTTTGCATCTGTATGTCATTAAAATTTTCAGATGTTTGTAAGGATGGTCAACATTATAATATTATTTTTACAAGAAAAAAATGCACTTTTGACAGTGAATGAACCAAGCATGAGCCCCAACTATTTAAAAACTCGAAATCTGCACCTGCATTTTTATTTCATGTGAAAGGGCTAGGGTTCCATTTCATTCCCGGCACCCTTTCCTCCTCTACGTCGCCTTCATGGCCTTATCATCTCTGCGTCACCTTAGTGGCCTTTTCCTCTATGTGTAGCCGGTGAGTTGTCGTTTCTCCTTTGTGTTACTGGTGAGTCTCCCTTCTCTCCTCGCGTCGTCGTTTCTCCTCTCAATCTCCAAGGTAATATGATTCCACGGTTTTTATTTTCGTCGTTCTACATCGACAAACTCACGTAAACTCATTACTCATTTTTTTAGGGTTTTTGTGAGATGCCGAAACATAAAATGGAAGTAACAACAGGCAAAGATAGGAGTCATTGAGTTTCAAGGTAAATGGTTTCAGGTTTAGGAAGAAATGGGTTATGCTTATTTGTCAATGGTAAGCTTAAAATTTGAGCTTGTAAAATTAAAACATAAAATTTGAGCTTATATATCATCCTATTTTTTAAAAAATTTTGTATATGTGTCTGCCACCTTCAAAGTCAATTGTTGTGGTATTTAAGGGTTTAAGAGAATATGGTGATGTCTTAATAATTAAACAATGTGAAGATATAATAATAACTGTACGAAATTATAATGATATATGAGTAAAATTTCCTTTTAATTTAGTTGATATTCTATGATTACGTGAAGTTGGTTTGCAGAGTAAGAATTTGATGCATGATTTTAGGGTAAGGTTTAAATTAGGTAATTTAACCTTAAGGGACAAACATCCCAATACCACATGCACGGATTCATCCCCAACACCACCCCATTACCACCCCAGCACTACCCCAATACCACATGCATTGATTGACCCCCAATACCACATACATTGATTCACCCCCAACATCACCTCAACTCCACCCTAATACCACCTCAATGCCAACCCAATACCACGCCAATATTTCCTCAGGTATTGGGGGTTTTATGCCAAGATATTTTTGGGGTGGTACTGGGTGGTATTATGGCTGTATGAATGTGGTATTGGGGTTTTTTTGCCAATAGACTATTGGGGTGGTTTTGATATGGTATTAGGGCATTTATGCCAAGAAATTCTTTGGATGGTACTTGGGTGGTATTGCGGTGGTATTAGGATGGTAACTATATGGTATTAGGGGTTTTGTGCTAAGATATTTTTGGGTGGTATGGGGGTGGTATTGAGGTTGTATTGATGTAGTATTGGGGTGGTATTATGGTGGTATTGGTGTGGTATTGGGGTGGCATTATGATGGTATTGATGTGATATTGGGGGTTTTGTGGCAAGAAAATATTAAGGTGGTATTGATGTGGTATTGGGTAATTTGTGCAAAGATATTTTTGGGGTGGTGCTCGGGTGGTGTTAGGGTGGTATTGATGTGGTAATGGGGTGGTAATGAGAAGGTATTAGGGATTTTGTGACAAGATATTATTGGGGTGGTATTGGTGTGGTATTAATGTAATATTGAAATGATATTAGGGCGGTATTGGGATAGTATTGTTGTGGTATTGGGAGTTTTTGTTATCCATCAAATTTTCATGCTTTTTATTCTTTAGTTCCAGCATTTCTCCTCTTCAAATACATGATTTTACACTTTTTGAAGATTGGAATGGCTTTGTACATGTTACAGGAGGACTAGCACGAAAATCAGAGTGAAAATGAGGGACTTTGAAAACATCTGCACTAGTGCAACCACACCTAAATCAGGCATGGCCACACCACTTGAGTAGTGCGGTCACACCGAAATTGGGCTTGGTCAAGCCCAATGTGCCAAAATAGACCGCGCGAAAGAGTTTCTAGCTGTGGTGTGAACACGCCACCCAACCCGAGCCCACAGTGTAATTACTCCTATGGTCAGGCGTGGTCATGTTGCCGCATCTTCTCAGTTTTGGAAAATTTTTATTACGGGGTTATAAAGGATTTGGGAAAAATTTTTAACTCATTCTAGAAAATCATTGTAAGGAGAAGATTTAGGGAGCTTTTCTTGGAGAGGGAATTGCATAAGAGGCTAGGGTTTAGAGGGAGAATTCTTCTCTTCTTTCAAACTTTCTTTTGTCTGTATTATTTGAGAGAGTTTTCAGAAAAATTGGTGGCTATTCTTATAAGAGAGGAGATCAAAAGGTTGTAAGTACTTTTTATTGCAATAAAAATATTTCTTGCGTTTTATTTCCATGAAATCTTCATGAAATCTTCTTTGTTTTTCTCTCGAGCCATGAGTAGCTAAACAATTTTTCATGTCTCTATGATTTTTGGGGTGATTTTCTTAGTTTAATTTTTTTTTTTTTTTGGCTTTCTCGTATCATTTTCTTTGCTTTGAATTGTTAAGAGTTGTTGGTTAATCTTCCGGCCCTCGTTTACTCCTAACCTGGCTAGTCAGGACGTTAATATCCATCGTGATCTATGACTTTGGTAGAAGCGTAGAGGAAAGATTAGATTAACCAAAAATTCTGAATAAAATAGGAATATTTTATTATGGATCTTGCAACAAATTATAGGGGATCAAAATTTATTGGGAATTCCATAAGATAAGCGGAAGCTATCTTTGTGGAATTTCAAATCTTCTTGGGACCTAAGCATAGGCTTAAAAATAACTCAATATCCCTGATTGACAACCACCATAAAAGAAAATTTTGTATGAAAATCAAGTCAAGTGTCACACCTAAATCCCAGAGGCACGATTCTAATTACTATTGAAAAAACACCAACAGAATTTGATCCACATTTTCTTATGTTTTGCTTTCTTCAAAATTTGTTAGACTTGGAATTTTCTTTCCTTGCTTTCTGAATTTGCCAAACTAGGTTAACATATTTAATAAACTAGAGCTTTTGCCTTTTCAGAATGATTCTTAACAAGCTTCCCTGTGGGATTGATAAGTGGTACTCTTTAACCACATTATTACTTGACATATATACTTGCGTTGTGTGACCATCTTACTTCGCGGTAAGTTTTGACACGTCAATTTTGTGTCGGGATACTCTTGGGGTGGTGTTGGGGTGGTATTGGGGGTTTTGTGCCGAGATACCATTGGAGTGGCATTAGTTATTTTTTTATGTGGTATTTGGGTGGTATTGATGTGATATTGAGATGATTTGTTGATTTTTAGGAGAAGATATTGTTGGGATGATATGAGGTGGTATTGGGGTGATATATATGTGGTGTTCATGTGGTATTAGGTTCTGCACTTGTCATGGTTATGAGATGGAGATGATTTAGAGTTTTTAATCACAAGTGCACCAAATAACATGTTGTTGGCATTTACTATTTAAAAAAGTGGTGGTGTCTACTAGTATTGTATTGATATTATTGTAAGAGAGAAATTAAAGTTTGTAATATCAAAATAAAATTTTTTTAAACTACGGAAGAGCAAGAGTAAAAAATAAACAATGTAAATGATTTCAAAAATCACCTCCATTTTATTCTTGTCATCATTTTGAGAACTCTTCATCTTCAAAATAAATTTGTCGATTTATTGTAGCCCTCCTCTCTTCAATATGTAACAGTATGTCCTAAATGAAACCCTAAAATGCTAGGAAGAAATGATGAGGACTGTGCAACGAGGAAGAGAACCCAAGGTAGAAATGGTAATGAGGTAGGGTGCGAGTATTTGAACATGTTTTAGAAATATTTTAGAAATTGTTTTTTCCTTAATTTTTTCGGGTTGGGCCACAGCCAAAAGAGCTTTTTTTTCCTACAAAAATAATATTATAATGTAGGCCAGCCTTACATACAGTTGTCAAAATATTACTAGACTAATATTATAATGTAGGTCAGCCTTACATACAGCTGTCAAAATATTACTAGAGTCTAGATGCATTATTCGGATTATATATATATATATATATATATATATA